CGTGTGGTGTCAGAAGCACTACTTATTTAAGTGGACTTTATTATTCCCAATTTCATTAGGATAGTTATTAACCGCCAATTGCATTAACGCTACGAGAATATAGTCATAAAAGTGTCAACCTTTTAAGTGTTAGCCATGAAATATTGATACAAATATATGTTTTCTAAGTTAACATTATTTATGCAAAAAGAGTCTGTCACAAAAAAATTTTTCAATGTCAACTAAAAACCATCATTGTAAGTATTGTTGACACAAATAGGATCACAAATAGGATCAAAAGTCTGATAGAGTCCAGTCCATTGCAATCAATGTTTCAGAAAAATTATAAAAATAATAAAAAGTAACTAGGTGAATATTTTTTTAATATTTGTAAATAGATATGGTACTATTTCATCGTACTATATGCTTCAAATAAATTTCAGTGGAGTGAGGGTTAATAATTCTTTACTATTTGCATCAAAACTTATGTTGATACAAATAATTGTTGTTGCATTCAAAACACAAATCTGATTTGTTTTGCCTTGTATTTATCTAAAGCTTTTGTTTACTTCTCCTCCTTACTCTTTCACGAAAACAATGAGAACCATTGTTTATCTCAAATTTCAACCATATTCATTAAAATGCAATCCCACAAAGGAGACAAAAAGGTAAGGAAATCATTTTTTTAAAAGTTTTTTAATTTTTTACCAGATTTGCATGTTATACATACCAGATCTCTCTATCTTTTTTTTTTTCTTTGAAATTGTAGATCCAAGTATATAGTCTCTACAAAAGAGACAAAAGAGTAAGAAGATCATTTATTTAAAAGTTTTTAAATTTTTTTGCAAACCTAAATGTCTAATATCCTAGATCTAACTTTCTCTTCTTCTTCTTTTTTCCCTTTTAAATTTAAGATTAAGTACATTTGACATGTGAAACTCCCAGAAGATATATTTTTTCCTATAAAAAATTTTAGGTTAAATGTTAATTTTGGTCCCTTAACCTTAGAATTTTGCATAATTTTCATCTCAAAATTTTTTATATACTTTTTTGGTCCCTCAATTATGAAATTGTACTTTTTTTTAGTAATTCCGTTAGTGAATCTGTTGAATTTATTTATATATACACATTTTGATAAAAATAGACTGCAAAGAATAATGGGGTACAACTCCTCATGGAAGAGACATTTGAAAACCCATACATACAAAAAAGACAATAAAGAAGGAAATTGGGTATCAAAGAAGGCATAGAGTAGATATGTAAATTTAATGATATATGAATGACGTTTCATTGATACGCTTTTGATCTTTTGCATACATATATTTCCCTAAGTAAATTATGTTTTGGTAATATGTGATATGGAAAAATGGTCTGTATTGTGGTTCTTGATATTGTTGCTAGTTCTTGATATTCTTGCTGAGAAATAATAGTGTTATTATGGTTTTATTTATATTGATTAGATCATATTAGCATATTATGATTACAATGATTCATAGTTGTTAAATTTAAATTTTCATGTAGCAATATCTTATTAGGATCTTTATTCACTGTATGACACATATGTAAAAAGTTTGAATAACAATTTTGGCCAACAAGAAGATGGACGATGGCTTGATTTTGATATGAATTTGTGGAAAGAAGCAGTGGGCTTTCTTAGGAGAGGATTCATGCCTGAGTTGGGTTATGCTCAAGATGTTGAGTGTTTTGGTATGCCTTGGAGAAAATGCCCACAGACAATGCCATCACAACCATCATCATCTACTACTTAGTATAGACAGATAATGGATGACTTTGTAACAAGAATGTTGTCTGTAGAGGAAAAGATTTTTAGGGATTTTGAAGATGTAATTCAGTGTGTAGTTCAAGAGTCACTTCAAGAGATATGTGGGTAGTTGTCATCACACAACTCCTCACACACAATCCCCGCCTAGATATTTACCTCAAGAGGCTAACCCATATGAAGTATTCATAGGACCCTGCCATATGCAAGGTTATTAAACTACAATAGTCACAACCCAACCATTAGAAAATTTATTTCAACATTACTCTACTGCAACTCCATATCCAACATAGCATAAAGGTCAACCACAACAAGTATATTATGTTCCTCAACCAACCCTACCAAATTATTCATTTAATGTCTATCCTGATGCAACTACTGGCCTTACTACACTACATTCACCACAAGGATATGATGACATGTTTGGCAATACCCATAGGTCTGGTAGTGGTAGTTCTCACAAGTCTAGTAGTGGTAATGTTCCATACCTTTTTGCACCTTGTTAGACCTAACCTAGTAGTTCATCAGGTGAATTAAAAACTCAGTCAATAACTCAATGAAATAATAGGTTTGATAGATTTCTACATTTAGATTATTCTAAGTTTGATGATGATGATGATGATGATGATGATGATGATGATGATGTGGGTAATGAGTAGATACTTTATGTTGACCCCATGTTAATGAGGATGTTGGGCTGAATCTTGGATTTGTTACATTGTCTTTGTCGTATTTTGTATGTTTCTAAACTTAAAAATACTTAGATATCCATTGAACTTATTATTTTTATCCATATATGCTTATATTAGGTTGAATGGATTGAAACAATTTTAAAATTGCATTGTACATCAAGTGTTTGTACACAGATTAATATGCAAATGAGGTTTAGTTTTCTATTTCTTTGGATGAAACATGTTATGTTGGTAAAAGGATTAATATACTGATATGTAGGTTTACAAGTCATTTTTATGAGGTGTTTTGTAAATTAATTTATAGAAGCAAAAAAAAAAAAATTTTTATGAGGTCTTTCATAGATTTTTCTTAGGTTTTGAGTTAGTAACTCAACACTGATGCTAACACTGATACAAAATTTTCAAAAATTTTCGAAACTTGTCAAGTCTTCCCACTACTTTTGACTAAATTATTGTTTTTGTCAGTAATGTTGAAACAAATAATATTAATTGACGCAAATGTTTCTATATATAAATCAACCACAGTAGTTTTCCTACCATTACACCATTTCTCTTCTTCTTCTTCTTCTTCTTCTTCTTCTTCTTCTTCTTATTCTCATCTCATTTTCTAAGTTTCTTACTTTTCTTATTTTTCATAGACCAATTTCATTCTCATTAAATTTTTGTCACAATCCAATGGTATATTCTCTAGTCCATAAATTCTTCTATTTTATTACAATATTTTTTAATATTTTGTATAATTCTACTAACTTATAGTTTTAATTTGCACTTAAAACTAATTTTTTCATTCTTGTTGTAGGTTTATATATTGGGAGAATCTCTTAAATAAGGTAAATGACTTTGTGCCATTTTTTCCATCTCTATGTTATTAGTTTGTATTATGTTATCTGATAGTTAATTTAAAATATTATTTTTATTTTTGTTTCTTATGTTTTTGTAGGAGAGATGTCTTAACATGATATATGGTATGTGATTATACTTTGATTTTTTTTGGAGTTTCTTTGTGTGATTTAAAGATGTTTTTCATTGTTTCTTAATTTTCTAATTACTTATTTATTTGTTTATTTTTTGTAGGTGGAAGAATGGATACCATTT